CCAAAAAAAAATCCTCCAAAATAACACCCAAAACAAACAACAAAAAAACCCAAAAAAAAACCCAAATATAGAAACAAACAAATAAACGAACACATACAAAACAACAAAACAACGAACCTGTTGTTTAGAAATGAGATGCGTGGCCAGTCGTATCTTGGCGTAGGAGCCCTCGCCAATGGTCCTGCCCAGAACGTACTGTCCTACCTTTTTCTTCTTCTCACCCATCTCCTGACAATTCGGGGAAAACAAACGTCCGTTGTCAGGGGAACAAGGTCTCACGGGAAAGCCTATCTCGTCTGGTAATCCAGTGGCGGTCGTCATGTAAAAGGCGGCGTTGATTGGGTGTGGAGGTAAATCCAAGTCCAACTCGTCCAAGTCGCGAGAGTCGAGGTTTGAGTCTTTTTGAGATCCGTTTTCAGGTCCTTCAACACCTGGAAAGTCGTTAGAAATACGAGTCCCTTCGTCGAAATCGTTAGGCTGTTGTGAATTCTGGGTGTGTTGATTGTGTGATTCGAGCTCCGTGTTTAATGTGCCTATTGTCTTTGATGTGTTGTACTGTGTGCAGTTGCCGTGTTCCATCTGAGTTGACATGTCGTCGCCATTGATCTCGGAGTTACTTTCTGACGCCAATCTGTGAGAGGGAGCTGATGGTTGCAGCACGATGTGTGCATCACGCATGTCTTGACTTGGACTTTCCCCGCCGTAACGTCCGTCACTCACGGATCCACCATAATCCGAAGTATCTCTTCCTTTGCTTTCATCAATGTGACAATTCTGATAACTATCCTCTACGGAGACAGAAGACTCAAGAAACGCGCTTCGTACAACACCTTCTGTATTCCCAACTATCTCATCACTCAGTTGTTTAGTATCTCTATTTCTTGACCTCGAAGACTTTCGGGAACTAAGTTCTTTTCTTTTCTCCGTCTTCTCTCGACGCTGGGAAGTCACGTTTGAGGAACTTGCCGCACCCGAAACGTATCGCAGTTTTGAATCCCGACTCGGGGGTGGTTTTGCATTTGTAATGCACAGACTACTTGCCATTTTGCTTGGGGAATTCGGAACAAAGCGACTCCACTCAGGACGCCTCTCTTTAGAAATCGGCGCGGTTTCTCTTTTCTGGCGTGAAAAGAGACATGGGAGCGAAGACGGAGTAGACAGTACTTGAGCGGCCCGAGGAACGCCCCAGTGCAGGACAAAACAGCAAACCAAAGAACTTCAAACCTTGATGGCAGCTCTCTCTGTGTTTTTTGTATACCTCCCGCTGAGTGAGTGATCTGCGAAGTTGAGCGAGTCTGAAAACGAAAAGAAAAAAAAATGTTAGTTGAGGAGTTAATTCTAGGACAATTTCGTCTATTCCATTTTACTTACGTACGGTACCTTGTTGCGCAAAATTATACAAAATAAACGGCACATTTTTGTGTCCATACAAATTATCGCTGAAGACAAAACACTCGGCTTTCAATATTTATTGCAGGTTTTAAATTGCCACAGCATTTTTTGAAACAAGCAAAGCAAGTAAGAAAAAAACAACAACAACAACGAACAAACACAATTTTATTTGTTAAAAATAAATGATAGAATGGATTAGGAAAACAAATCCTCCAAACTACAACGCACCCAATTCCCCATTTTGTTATTTTGATCGACGAGAATCGTTTAGTACGATTTTTTCAGACAATTAAAATAAATTGGCTCTTTTATCGCTGCAGCCATATTATATCAAGTAATAAAGATACGTTTCTGCCCCCCCCC